TTGTTACTAGTAGCTTCTTGTTACTAGTAGTAATGCCAGGAGCTACTAGTAGTAGTGCGAGGAGCTACTAGTAGCTATTTGCTCCTAGTAGTAATGCCCTTTGTTACTTGTTACTAGTAGTAATGCCAGGAGCTACTAGTAGCGTCCTTGCTCCTAGTTGTTCTTTTTGTTGCTCATGTGTTTTTCCTTTTGTTGGCCGCTCGTAGGGCTAAGTTACTGTAGCTCCTAGGTAGGACGCAGGATAGCTCAAGCTTCTTCAAGGAAGCTTCCCCCGCCTGAGGCCGGGGGGAGCTTCCCTGAAGAAGCGCTTGCAATATCATTTGGTTCCTAGATTGTTGAAAAGAAGTGCTTTCTTGGCCTATACTTTGTAAGGTCCAGACAGGGTAACCACTGCTGTACATCCTTCGCGTTCCCCGCCAAGGGGAGCGTCACTCAACCATTGCATGGGTGAATGGGCAAAGCCGGCGCATGATTTAGCAGGGGGGCTATGAGTTTTATGTTTCCCCAAGAAGACCGTGTGAGGTACTCAAGCCTTCTATAGGTCAGATTGATTGAGAAGTTGAGACTTCCACACTGTCAATGGTTCAGCTCAGACAGAACCATGAACATGGATAGATTACCCCTTTTTCGGGCAAGCAAACCTATAGTTTTGCTATTCCATTGGAACACGAAACCGCTGGTCTCCTGCGGGTGTTTCTGCTGTTGGAAGGTGTGTTCTGTATTTGATAAGCTCAGCGTGACAAGTGCCAAGCCAATTGCTGCAATATAGATGTCGGATATTTTAACACACCTGGAGATTTGCAAACCCAAGCAGCCAAGCAAAACACTCAAAGAATCAGTCATGCTGAGGTTGTTTCCGCAGCTTCTGCAAGCATGCGTCCCAGTCAAACCGCCGTAGGCTCAGTCAGACCTCAGCCCTGTTTGTTGCTCTGGCCGACGAACAAGTCGATGAGTTTCCCATGCGTCCCAGGGCATCACGTCACTTCAGAAGGTCAAGCGGGCACAGGTCGCATGAAGAGGAGCTTGTCAGAAGCTGCAGAGGAGCTCGTCTTCATGGCCATATCTGGACCATGGTCAAGCCGTCTCATCTAAACCATCTCTTGTATTCTTGCTTGAACCCACGTGCGAACTCGGCCACCTTGTCACTGTCTGGCCCCAGTGGAGATAGAAGTTTGATTTGATTATATAATCTTGAATCTGGAATAACTATATAAATCACAAGAATAAAACCGGGCACTCTCACGAGCCAACACTCCACCTTGTAGTCCCAATTGCGACCTTCTCGTTTCCGAAATATGCGATCCTTCATGTCTGATGGGAGTTCGTCAGTGTCCTGGTCGGGACAAAAAAGACAAAGAAAAAATCAAAGATTGAGACTTGTTGAATCAGTTCAATGTTTAAGAACATGTTAACTTGATGGTGCTCGCCCTGTCCTGAGACCAGGTGTCACCGTTTGGGCGAATTACAAATCCTGGTGGTTGTAGACCATAATGATCCCGGCCTTCAGGAAAAAACATAAATGAAGTCCACGATGGAGCCTGAAACAAGGCAAAGCAAAAACGAAGCAACCTCGCGGGTCCAAGTGGATGACAGTCGACGGGGGGGGGGCATCCGATCTGCTCTGAACTCGACAGTTGGAAGTGCAAAGAGCAAAGTCAGCATCCTGGACTATCTGGGTTTCATCTGACTGTCTAGGAGGACAATAAGGAATCACAAAAGGGAGATCCTGGAAACACGCACGCGCACGCACACACAAAAAATAAACGCCAAGAAGATTTGAGGGATTGACTGGGAGATCCCAAAGGCATCTTTGATCTCTGACACGGACAAATATATAGCAAGCTTGGCACTTGCTTGGCCTGTGGACTTGACTTGCACTTCAGCTTCGCCCAGCTCTCCCTTCACTTGCCAAGCCAGAAAGGTCTCAGTCACACCTCGCGATGCAAAGGGCGGTCTGACAGTTGAAGGGACGAATCCATATATAGTGTCACACTAGAAAGAAAACACAATAGATGAAGAGAATGAGAAGCGAACTATCAAGAACACCGTTTAAATCAGAAAAACAACAAAGTCAAGTGATATCGTGGAGGAAACAGTCTTGTTGCGGTGTCGTGACGAATGATCGAGGTTGGTCACTCCTGTTCTGGAATGACTCATGGGAGTCCACACTCTTACAGTGTTTCAAGGTTATGCCAAGTCCTCCGCACGTCTGCCCTACCGTTTAAATATCCTTTTGTTGATGGGGAAATAACCGTTCCACCAAGTTACAGTAGATCAAAAAATCGAATACTTTGACACATCAACGGTTATTAGTAATGGAGGCCCTGGCCTCCAAGTTGGAGGCCATTGCTATTAGGTTGGAGGCCATCGCTAGTAACTAGGTTCCTTTACACATAAAAAAAGGCACCCCCCACCACAGCCTTCGTGCAAACGGTAGAGCACATGCTCTGGCTCTGCCATTGGTCGGACACGTGTGCCAAGCCACTCATGAACTCTGGGGTGGGCTGCCAAGGCACTCATTGCCAAGTCAAACCTTGGCTGTTTTGTCCACAGACCCCGGTGACGGAATGTTTCTCCACCGGGTTCGACCAAGGCTGGCTCTACCCCAGTTGCAAGGCTCCCAGCCAGTCTTGTTGCCTCTCTGCGTTCCCGCAAGCTGTGGGTTTGTTTGGGGAACCAAGGAGCAAAGTCTCAGGAGAATGATCTAGATCTGCATCATGGGCTTGTTCCCAGTCTTTGTCTCCAACACGGCCAATGTACTGAAGATTGCCTGCACGAATCTGTCTCATCACATGAAGTTCGTGATGCAGCCAGGGGAAGAGTTCACTCTTCCTCTTCTTGAGTTGAGGAGGTGCCTGGGCGTAGGCTTACACGCCTGTTGAAGGTGAGTCGTTTTGTGGATCCCAAACCCTGTTTGGCGTGTTCAACCAAACAAGCAAAGCATGCTCTCTTCCAGTGTCGGGTTCATATTTGAAAAGCCGGCTCGCATCTTCCGTATCCAGGCACACCACTACAAAGCGACGCAGACTGCGAAGAACTGCCCAGATGCAAAAGCCAAAGCTGTAGCCATAGAAGCCATGGACTGCACTTCCAATTCCGGCACCTGTCATGGCTTCAGAGCCGAGGTCTACACGAAGAAGACAAGAAGACTGCAGTCATGCTGCATTTATCCCAATCCTTTCAATACATGGTCCTTGTCAAATCAGTTGGTCCCATATTCCATGCCCTCTTGCAACCCTTGCACCTACCAGCGCGAGAGCCCCAGCATCGACCGGTGTTCCAGCAGGTCGATTTTTCCGTGGGGCTCCAGTGGCAGTCTCTCCTTCCGTGCTCGTCCAACGCTGCAGTGCTTTGAGGCCCAAAAAATCCATCAACTTGAGAAGCTTCAAACGGAAAGAGCTGTGGTGCCACATCTCCGCCTTGGCTTGGAGATGATTTGAAGAAAAGAGCTCGTGTGGCATGTTCGTTAGAACCTGAACGGCCTAGCAGTGTGTTTCGTGCCCTACGGGTCTGGGTTGGTCTGAAAACTGGTTCAAACCATTCTTCCTGGGTGTTGATTTCACGCTGAGGCGCAACGCCTTTGCGTTGTATCTCTGCAACTTTCTCCTGTACGAAATCGAGAGTCCTCCAGCAAATCTGTTTTGCACAAATATGCACAACCGCTTCTAGGTTGGAAGCCATCGCTATTAGGTTGGAGACCATCGCTAATAGGTTGGAGGCCGTTGCTATTAGGTCCTTATTAGGTTGGAAGCAAAGCCTTCTTGCAGGTCTTAGCCCTTCCCTGTTGTACCATTTCCTGGTAGGGTGCACAGGCCAGCTGAGTGGCGGGTCACGGGCGGTGTACGGCATACGATGCAGGTTTTTTGGCGGGTTTGCTGGTGGTTCCGTTCGGATTGTGGAAGCCACGACTTTTTGAGGTGGGAATCAAATCTATGAGATAGGAACCGATTTGTTTCTTCTCGGAGACCATTGCGAAGAGAGTTTTGGGAGTATTTGGGAGTAGCGTAGCGGACAGAGGTTTCCAGGAGCTAAAGATGCGACAGCAATGCAAAACGATGCGACACGACACCACGCATATCCAGGTTATTGTTTGGTTTATGCTTGTGTCCGCTGCCAAGGTTCTGCGTGGCCTAGGCAGTCTTGGCAACTGTCCGCCGTGCCACTGATTGCACAGGGAATGGTTTGCCATGTTTTGCGCAGGAAGGGTGTTGGTGGCAAAGTGCTGGATGAGTTCGAGTGCCTTTTCTTTCATGTTTGACTTGGCTTTTGCTTTGTGTCTTGTGCTTGGTTTATATGTGTTGCACAGCAAGCTTGGCGTCTACCGAGGAGTCTGAGGGACACTCACTGGTGTGACACTTAGCGCTCCTTTATGAGAGTCCCATCCTCCAACAGTTGAACATTTAAAGGTGTTCTTTCATGAGTTGTCTACTCCGAAAAAAAAAAAAAAAAAAAAACATTTTGGGTGACAGGTGTCTTCCTTGATGAAAGCATTATCCAAGTATTTATTGTCCTTTGGGTGAAACTTTCTTTCTTGCAAGAATCTTCTCATTTCCAGAATCGGCACTTTCCTTCAAGTGCGAACTGATGCGAAGCGTTGTTCGCGCTCGGGCTGCATTCGGTAACACAGTGTTGACCTGGTGAATGCATTTTGATGCAGACACCGGTTAGCAAAGCAAAAAACAAATGCTTCAAAATCCAACTTCTTCCCGAAAAGCACATGCGTGCCTCGCCTCCAAGGAATCTCTTGGTTAAATAGAATTGTGAAGCAATAGGTGTCATTCAAGACAACGCAGGGCTTGCAAACAACTTCTTAAAACCTTGGGGAGGAAAAATGTTTACACCCAGCAGCGGGAAAAGCTCTTACTAAGAAGCAAAGGTATGGACATATATAGGTCCTTTGATGGACACCACCTTGGTCTTTTGTAACCACAACCTCTACAGGACACCTTCTTTTTCATAAACACACATTTCGCGAGCCAAATGCACACAAGGCTTAAAACACCCTCCTGTATCATCCTGTATTAGCATCTGAAAATTGGCCATCCATTGGTTGATATCATTTTTGGGAAGAAGCTGCCTCCCAAATGTCATATACATGATCAAGGTATCATTAGCAAATGTGGTTAGTTAGTTTAGTTTCTTTGGCGACTTGATGCACCTTCTGCTTGTACTACGTGTGTTCAGGGTTGGAAGAAGTTTTGTATTGCAGGCTGCGGGGGTTGCAGTACAAGTCTTGAGTGGCCGGAGACCTTGAGGAGGGCAGGGGATTCGGAGTACAAGGGTAGGAGAAAGAAAGAACAACAGAATCACCTGCACATGTCCAGCAGGTAAACTCTGCTTTTGAGGTAATCTCTGTTCGCATTAAATTAATGGATGTGTGCTAATACCCCTGAGAAAAGAGAGCTCTATGACCTCTATTTATATGGCGACTTTCAACTTCAAACTACACCTCCGTTTAATTAGATTTAATTACGGTTGGCCGATTTAACATGATTCAGTCGGGGTCGGTCACGCGCCATTCTTGAGTGACGCACACTGTTACAAAACTATAAACATACACTTTGGCGAAATACGGTCTCCATGAAGTCCCTAGGTGTTTGACCAACCCGCGTAACACATGTGCATTGAACGATCTGTTTCAACCACTGGTATGCCTGTTGGGAAGACAGCCTAGGGCCTAGACCTTTGATGCACATTCTGAAGGTGTATATCTATATGGTTTTTGTTGATTCAAAAGTGGCCAAACAAAAGACAGCAAATCAGTTTGCAACCTGCCTCAAAAGTCCAAAGCTTGAAACGGACTCGAAAAGCTGGTCTCTGAGCCCGAAAGTAGAAGCATGTAAAACATTGTAAAGCATACAAAAGTAGAAGCATGTGAATCGAGAAGTGCAAAAAGGCCACGAACGTGTGAAGAAACGCCACGAAAACTCCGAGAAGTCGAAGCGTGTGAAGTCGAGAAGTCGAGAATCGTGTGAAAGTGCAAAAAAAGGAACGAAAAAGGGTACAAACGCGCCGCTCGAAAGGTGCGATTGGGGTTGGCAAAAACTGAAAAGATCTGAAAAGTCGAAAACAGCGCGATCAAAAACTCTAAAAGTCGCAAACGAAAACATGCGAACACGTCGAAAGGTAGAAAGGTGATGAAAGGTGAAAAATCAACGAAAAGTCTGAAAGGTGCAGTTGATTAGTTAGGGGTCAGCTGCAGTTGATTTCGGGTGAGGTTAGTAGTTGGGATTCGGTTCCATGGATGGACTCAACACCGTGGATGGATGGATGGATGGATGGATGGATAGTTTGGCTCAACACCGATGGATGGAAAACAATCAGTGGACATATGTATTGAAGCACTGTAAATGAACCTGTCTGCACAACAACAGATTTGGCCTGGGATTGCCAATCAAATGCCAGAGATCCCAAGTCAAATGCAATTCCTTCTGAAGAATGTGAAAGATCCAAGTCTTGAAAAAACACCTGGCATCTTAACTAATCTGAAATTGTTTAAACAAATAAAGACAGCAAAAAAACAAAAGTAATGTAAAGGTCAAAAAATTCAGAGAAAAACCTGGCATCCGAATCCGAAGAGCCGAGAAGTGCGGAAAATCAGGAACTGTCTGACGTCTGATTGTTTTTACCTTTTTCATGTGGTTTCATTTTGGTTGTGAGGATGACGGCTTAGTGGCTGCTAGCTTTGGTATGTTGCAGGGGAAACAATGGCATTGCCTTGGTGGAGCAGCAAGTCATAGATTAGATTGTTGGTCATGAAAGGAGGGAGGGGATGGACACAAAACATAGGTTCTAACTTCGAACATCTACCTGAGAAAGGAGAGGACGAAAGCCAGCGAGAGACCAATATGGTAATGCAAGACTGGGAAGAAAAAAATAGCGGAGCACTTATTGTTGAATGCCTGTAGCTTCCGTGGAGCTTGTATCAACCTGGAGTAGATCAAGATCGGAGCACAGCATGAAGTGTTGAATGTTTTAGGTTTTGTCGATTTTCCTGGCGCGGTGCTCTCTGGCGCGTCCGTGTTTGGTGGTCTATTTGAGAATCCGGGAAAAAAAACGTCAGTGCTGTTGGGGACTTTACTTGGGCTTATGCCACCGATCCGCCCAACATATAACCATAAGTCGCGGCTACACCTCTCGTCCCAGAGACGTAGAGACACAGAACCATAGAGACATAGAGACATAGTCGGAAAACACAGAGACATAAAAAGACAGAGAAGTTCCTATCTACACGGGCTCCGTTTCTGAGAGCAACTTGTCGCTGCCAACCAACAAGCATACTTGCCCCAAGACATCCAAGCAGACTTCTCTGAAAGGACGACTAAGAGGATGGTGCCTCAGCATTGGCGTCACCAACCGTCATCCAAAAATATTGCATAGATCCGTGACTATAACCCATCCTCAAACAGCAATCTCTTCACCCCACCAAGTGCTATCTGCACGGGCCCCTTTTCTGATTGAAGTCCAGCAACGAATGTAAATTGCCCGGTCGTGCATGCTTGGCCCGGACATGTCGATATCCTTGCTTTTGAGAGCTTGACTCAAGCGATGGGTGCAGGATGTCCAAGGTTTTGGTGTGCATGCGTTAGGTTCGTACCCAACTAGCCTCATACCTTTGCGTGCACGCTGACGTGTCTCACCGTTCCCAGGGAGTTCCCAGAACCATGTTGCTGCCTGCGCAACTGCGCGCAACGAGGATTCCGAAGCTCGAAATGGCTACATGGTTCCACAACAGCCAATGGCCAAACCGTGCATTGACTGTATTGACCCGAAAAAGTCGAGCCACCACTGTGAACATAGCCGCACAGCCGTTACTGCACAGCCATTATTGAACCAAGCGTTTTACACGTCAGTATGGGACTTCCAGGGCTGGTGGATAAACTCCTGCACCAGCCACTCTGAAACACAGTTTCGGCCAAGACTGCCCTGCCTCTTCCAGTATCTATCTATCAAACCAGCTCTCTCTATCTATCTATCTTTCTTTCTATCTGATTCTATCTATCTATGATCTATCTATTCTGTATCTATCTAGCTGCGCGGCCAAGCCGGAACAACGTTCGGTGCACGTGGACGCCGCGAGAAGCATCCGCTCGACCGAGGAAACGGTACAAGTATAGTAGAGACTAGGATGGTTGCTCTGTACATGGGTGCCTGTCTCCACTCCAGTGCTCAATGCCCATTGTCCAAATAGCCTCCACACTTCGTGATGCTAATGATGCACAACTCAGCGTCCATTGCATCACTCGCATCACCAGATCCCATTTTCACTGCTTTTCTGACCCTCGCTTTGGAGCGCTCTCCCCTTAACTCACTTCGTTCGCTCTAAGAGCTCAAGCCTGGCCTATCGGCTGGCTTTCGATATATATATATATATATATATATTAGTATTATTTATATATACAGTGTGCAAATATAATATATATATATATATTTATACAGTATTTGAAATTACATGAACATGGTGTCGCAACGAATGTGCGACCACCACACAGGTCTCTGAGTATCCCGCGCAAATGGTGCGCACCACTCCCACATCGTGGAAGGTGGCACGTGTTCTCTCTTGTCTTCAAAAAAGGGTGACTGCATAGGAAGACAAGAGAAAACACGTTCCAAGTAACCAAGTAAAGGTTTTCTAAGAAAACCATTCTTCCTTGCCTTCCTAAGTAAAATGCTAGCACGTGTCTTCTGCAACGTCTCTTGGCTCCTGAAGAATGCTGCATTGAAGCGGTCGTCAAACTGCTGATTGGCAGCCACGAGCTTTAGTCGAGATAGCTCCAGCAAACGATCAGGCGGCAAAGTCTTCAAGTACTGCAAGGTCTTGAGATGTTTCTTGGTCCAAATGCGCAACAGTTGTTCCCGCTCATGGCTCCAATCTTTGAGCTCAGCCCCCAGAAGCTTTGCTCTTCTGCTCAGCTTCCGGAAGACGGACTGCGGTGCAACACCAAATCTTCGAATGCCTCGAGGAAAGGTAGGCCGCACTGCACATGCCAGACCAAGCATCAGTTTTCCAAGAAAGGCGTGAAGGCATGCTACTTTAAAAGTGTCTACCAATAACTAACAAAGCTATATATGAAAACAAGGAAACTGAGCAGGTTTATGGCAAACCAATGCTACTTGCAGTCCAGGAGTGAATCCACTTCAGCGAAAAGTGCGAGACATGTTTGAACTGTGCCAAAATCCTCAAAGATCTTTACTGTACAGAATCACAAAAGACTACTGAAAGCCAGCTGTATACAGTATGTATCAGTACTGCACTTGAGAAAGTACAAACTGCAGTTGCACCTGGAAGTGACAGAAAACTCGAACTTCCCATGTGAATGCAAGCACAGACTGCAAGCTTCAAGTCTTTCACTTCCTTTTGGTGGTCTCAAATCTTGTGGTGTCGTTCTTGTGAACGATTTATGCTTTGACACGTGACACGTGTTGCTTTGCCACGTGTTTTCACGTGGATACTTTTGTACACACTGCTCGCAGATTGGAGCAACTAGCAACTGATTTACCACACAAGGCACGAAAACAAAAGCTCGGATTCACGAAACTACAGTTTCGGATCTCTCTGGGAGAACCTTGGATGTAAACAACACCAATTTTAGTCCAACACTCCAACACACAAAGAACAAAAGTGGGCGGCCTCATGTCCGAACTCCGATGGTTTGAGAGTAATACCGTCGCAGAGCGCAGCGCGCAGAACTGAATCCAGCTTTTGAAGGCTCAACGGCGAAGAGCCCCCTCAAGAAGTTGGAGATATTCTCGACGGTGCATGCACCTAACGACCAAAAAAGGTACACGGTCGCCAACGCTAGTTACAGCCCAACTGCTGCCCACGGTCGCAGTTTGTTTCCGATTCCATTTGATGACCATAGTATAGTTGAGTCAAGAGTATCTTAGGACATGTTCGCGCCATTCAGAACTGAAACTGACAGGGAATACGGTTGATCCGGAAAAAAAACGGTTGCGCAAAAGTGCCACTTCCGTGGCTCCTGGCCACCCATTTCAGCTGAGAAGCGTGGAGCGCAGCTCATCACGAACTTCCAGATCCTTCACCAAGCGCTTGCTGGCCGCCTTGCAAACACGGCAAAGGTAGAGCTACAAACTACAACTACTTGAGTTCAGTTCCTTTGTCCTTGAGACAAAGGAAGTGCATTTTGAGAGGTTCACACAGCCCTCAATGACTCAATCCGTGTTGCACTATATAGAATGTGTGTGAGAGTGAGAATGGTTCAACTCCGTCATTCCACTTGTTTCACGAGAGAATTTGTTAGTTAGTTGGGGGTCAAAAAATACCAGCTGTGGTGGAACACCTCTGCAATCTGTTCGAAGGCATACGCCATAACCACCTGAGTCCCAAGTTCAATGCAAGTGGCTCTCAAGTCGAGCCCAAGGAAAAAGGGGCGACAAACAGCTGAGCAAAAAGGGAAACGTTCGGAACGACAATCAACTGCGAGCATAGATATATAATGTTGTTTCTACAGGATGGCTACAACATTTCCAACAAGACTTGTGGAAACACATGCAACGCTGTTCTTGAGGTCCCCACTAGATCTTCATCAGCGAGCTGTTGCAAAAGCCCCTGTCAGGCGAACCACAAACCGACACGCAAAGAAGTCTTGTGAAATTGAGGCCTAAGGCTACAAGGTGTTCCTCTGCCAGCCCAGCTGATCTCAATTGTTCTACCACTCGACCTGGTCCTTTCACCTAAAACATCATGAACAACCATCCCAGCAAATCCAGTGCGGCAAGTACGGAGCTCAGCAACAGTTCGTCCCTTGAGAAAGTTTGCTTCGGTGGAACTCTGTCCCAGTCCTCCGTGGTGATCTCTGCACCAGGAACCAAGGTGTTTACCTCAGCCAAGTCGGACAAGAAGTTAAAGAACCGGATAACTCTACACGTCTAGCCTTGCTCCTGTCACAACATGCCGAGCGAAAGAAAGAGAGCGCAAAAACAAAGCCACGTGTAGAGCGGATGTGAGTTGAAGTGAGCAGAGTGCGAAAGATTTGTGCAGAGTTGATGTGTGAGTTGAGCTGAGTCGGCGTGAAGAGGCTTGAGTGAGATGATCTAATGACGTGACCGCAGGGCACAGCGACATCGCAGATGCAATTTGGCCACATGGTGTGCCACATACTACAGTAGATACAACAATATAATACCAAGCCTCCTGGACACCACCAACCTGCCAGCTCCCCGGCGACACGCCAAATTTACACCAGCATGGTTTCCTTCCACTAATGGCACGGACTCAGGCAAACTCACTTTCCACCGAGGCCGCGCAAAACCGCACGGCACAGCGACATCACAAACGTAGTTTGGCGACACGGTGTCTACAGCACAGCCTCTACCAGCCGCGGAGACAGGCGCACCATGGCGATCGACACGGACAGGGAGGTACTACAGCACAGCCACAGCTTCTAAGAGCCACGGAGACAGGCGCGGCGACCAGGGAGCCTACAGCACAGCTTCTAAGAGCCACGGAGACAGTTGTGTAAGTCGAATGAGTTATTGTGAGTTGACTGTGTAAGTTGAGTTGTGTACTTAAGTTTGTGTGAGTTGATTGAGTTGTGTGAGTTGAGTTGTTGTGTAAGTTAAACAGTTATGGTTACGTAAGAGGAGGAGGCGGGAGGAAGGAGGGAAGGAAGGATGGAGTTGCCGCAAGAAAAACAAAAAAACACACATAGATGTGGAAAATAAAAGACATAGACTAATCGACCTGAGTTTACATTGGATCATGAGCAAACATGTCATGGGTGATATGATACAACTATATACATGAGTACCGTCAGAATGATCTACTTGGCCTCTTCTCGCCTAGTGATTTAGTGAGTCACCCTTCGTTCTACAGGGTTTGTGAGTTTTTCGCACTCCCACCAAGTCAGTCGGGCATCCAAAAGGAGCTGCACTTACGGTGCGGTAATCTTGAGTATACATGAGGATACTACATGTTAAGTCATATATATAAACACGACCACAGTTTACTTTTCCCACGCGTTGCAGAAAGTTTGTCTACAAAAGCAAGGAACTCATACCTACAATTACCTCTCGGGGCCCCGACTCTCTGTTCCCTCGCCAAACCGACAGGAACAGAGAGCCCCCCAGTATCCCCTGAGGCCACATCCGCCAAACCGGATGTCCCCCAGGCTCGGATACTTTAAGAGAGGGAAACCATCATTTGACTCACTCCAGTCTTGTAATGTGGTTTCATTGATTTCTCACCCCCGAGAAATCGAGCTGCGGATTCGGGAAAAAGAAAAACTCAACCTTTCGGCTTGCCCTTCTTCTTAGCTCCACGTCCCCCTGATCTGCAGGGCCTTAAAGGCTCTGCTGGCTCAAGGGTTGGGCTCTTGCGATACAAGTTCAGGTAAGGAACAAGGGATGAATTCGACAGAGACATATCTGCTAACTGCGCTAAACCGTCGTTCAAAAATATACGGGCGGTACGGGCAGCTGCCCACCGCCCCTGGACAAGGAGGGCGTCGAACGATCCGTGGTGGTTAAAGTGGAACGTCGCCCCACCACGTCTTAAACTGTAGGGTCTGAAATGCTGGTCAGTCAGGTGCAGTGCATCAATGGCTCGAGCGAATAACGCTCGCCAAGCATGAGGTTTGAGAGTTAAAAAGGCTGTTGGAGGATTTGTCTGTTTCCAACGCCACAAGGCTGGGAGGATGGACTGCTCACGCAGGCTTACGCTTTCGGCCGCCCCTTGGCGCGTGCCTCCCTTAGTCAGGCCTAGAGAGAGCACGGCCGGTCCCTTCGGCCCAGGGATGAACACATCCTTTGCCCGTAGGCTCAAAAGTTCTCCTGTGCGCAACAGACCGAAAAACGCGACACGCAGCGACAAACCAAAGGTGGTGCATTCGTTAAAAATTGACCGCCCGCACAAACCATCCAGAACCTGAAGGGTAAGTGGCGGCGCCCGATTTGGGATCTCCACCGACGTCCAGGCTTTCAACAACCGCCAACTTGCAGGGAGCTTTCGCTTGAGAGACGGATCACGGTCCTGGAGAGCTGCTAGAGTGTTATTGGCAATCGACTTTCCCTCGCCTGTGGCCCAAAGATGTTCAAGGTAGTCACTGACCAAGCCGTCAAGGAGGTTCTGCCGCTTTGGGAGGACTAAACCCTCCCCTGCTAACCAGTCAAAAAAATCGATTTAAGCAGTCTGTATATCGTTCTCTTGTACGAGGTTGAACTGTGAGCCCTTTGAGCGAACCTAACTTACTTCGGACTTTCTTGCGCTCCTCTTGACTTCTTCCTTCCATCACTTTCGTGGTCTTTTTCCCCATTTTCGATGTAATGGTCTCCGCGACGGCCGATCGGCCGGGTTCTGGTGTGTGTCCACGTAGGCCCACACACCAACAAGCCCACTAGCCAACTGAAGCGCTCCAATCCTACACAAGGTTCTTCTCAAGCGGCGGCTCGACGATCTCCCTCTCGACAACGCATGCAGCACCACAAGAGAATCGATCAAAAGTAAAAAGCGGCATGCTCCTTCCTCAAGCTCTTTCAACCTCCAGACGATGGCCGTCTTAACAGCACGCAGTTCTAAGGCGTTGATGTGCTCTGCATCACCTGTCCAGCGCCAACCTGCCACATCTTTCCATCGCCAAAGCTTGCTGGGGATCGAAGCCCGTAACCTATGGTATCTGGCTGGGAGATCCGTGCCCAACTGAAGCAGGATGTCTTCTCCCTTGACGGAAACTTGACCTAACAGCCGCGGCACCAGCCCCACGGGAGGTGCCCCCGCCTTGGTGGTTTGACGAATGGGAGGTCGAAGCAACAGGCTTCCAAGGTTCTGTTCTTTTCCTGGCGTCAACCGTAAGACAAGCGTCTCCACGTCCAGGGCTGGCAACAGACCAAGGGTGCGAAACAAGCAGTAAAGCAAGTAAACAACCACCGGAATCGACCAACTGTTGCCCAGCAAGCTGAGCCGACAATCATTGTGAGCTGGCTTCCCTTCCATGCTTTTGACCATGCGCCGGCGGGTGTAGTCCATACAGAAACCAAGAATG